GTTTTGTCACAGTAACAGAAAGTAACTAATACAGTTCCATTCAGCTTTTTCAAACATCGTTAGTGTTAATTATCCCTTTCCCTGTTCCCTTCTCTGTCCTATCCTCCCATACACCCCCTTCAAGCCACTTAAATCTCCCTGAGAGAAGTTGGATAGGATCAAAATACATTGTATACACACATGAAATTCTCAACATAGAACACGGCACAAGAGGGAACTCAAGCTTGGCACTGCAAACATAATCAAGAACCCATGGCTGGAGATATCATAGACCCCAAAGAAGAACCTACTACCACTGTTTTGCAACATTGATACAGTATCCAACTGCCTTCTAAATATTCTAAATACTTTTATACCCATAGATAGATAAATGCAGTTTCTCCTTCATCGAAGAAGCCTCTTTTGGCAGCAGACTCATGTGATCAGACAGCCACAACTGGTCAGAGTGCAGAGAATAAGTGACTGTGGAATGCCAAGTCCTAAACAGGACATCTATGGCACACCCCCTCCAGAGGCTCAGGGAGAATTGCAGGAGTGGGAGTAGAAAAGTTCTAAGAGCCAGAGGACTGGGAGGACAGTGGCAAAATAGTGTCTGTTGCTGTGTTATCTTGGAGGGAAGTAGTTACCTGCACAAGCTCTATACAAGATCAGGCCAGTGTAAACTCTGTTAAGGAGCAGTCAGTGCAACCCCATGCTTGTATGAAAATCCCATCATTCTGGTATGATATCTGGTTCATATCGAGTTTGTTGGCAAATTGCTTCTGCCAACCTAACTCTGTGCTTTATGCTGCATAGTTCTAAGAACACAGATTTAAAGAGGAAGTCAGGTCAGGCTTGGTGGTACATGTCTGTAATCTCAGCACCTGGGAAGCTGAGGCAGGAGAACTGTTTTGAGTATAAATCCAGCCTGGGTTACAGAGTGAGCTCCTGTCTCCAAAACTACTGGGAAAATGAAAGAGATGGAGAGTAGGAAGGAGAGCTGTCAAATGCCATACTCTGGGGCATTTGACACTCTGGCTCAGTGGTTAATAACACTGACTGTTCTTGCAGAAGACCTGGGTTCGAATCCCAGCACCCACATGGCAGCTAACAACTGTCCATAACTCCAGTCCCAGGGGATCTGACATCCTCTTCTGACCTCCCTGGGCATTGCACAACACGACTGTACTTACCTACATGCAGGCAATACATGCATATACATAAAATAAAAATAAATATTAAAAAAATGCCATACTCTGGACATGATATAGTTGTGGTATATATCAGTATAGCAGTGGTTACCTGCACAAGAGCAAGCCAATTAAGATTTCAGCATAGAAGGGGAGGGGCTCCCGAGGCCCCACCCACAGCTGAAGAACTATTGGCAGTTGATGGCTGCTTGGGAAAGGGAAGTTTCTTTGAGAGGTGCCCATTGGTAGGTCCCCCATGCCCCAGTGGATGACCCCAAACCAATGCACACATGGATGGTACTAACTGGACTCAGTGGGTTTATATATAAATACATATAATATTTATAAATATTATACACAGATATATTTGTTTTGAGACAGGGTCTCACTATGGAACCCTGGCTAGCCTGAACTCTCTATATAGACCAGGCTGGACTCAAACACAGAGCCACCTGACTCTGCCTCCCAACTTCTGGAATTAAAGGTGTGAACTACCATGCCTGGCCCTTAGTGGATTATATTTTTAAAAAATGAAAAGAAAAAGCCAGGCATGGTGGTACATGCCTGTTAATTCAGGCGCTTGTGAGTTGGAGGATAAGGAGTTCAAGGTCACCCTCTGCTACGCAGTGAATTCAAGGCTAGTCTAGAATACCTAAGACAGTGTTTCAAATAAAAGCAAAAACAAAAAAGGCAGACCTAGAAACTAGATAAGTCTCATAAATCCATATAAAATATAAATATCACTTATTCATATTCAGTGATGTGGGGGTTATTGAACCCAGGACCTTGCCCATGATGAGTACAACCTTTACCAATGAGATACACCCTCAGCCAGTGCAATTTCTTATATTCTGTCTCTCCCACATCTCACTCATAATCAGCATCATAGCTGGAGCATGAGTTATAAAATACTTTTATGTGTGTCCTACTTAAATACATACATACATACACACACACACACACGTGCACACTTGCAGCCAGTGAGCACTTACACCAGTGTCTGTAGTTTACACTCAGGGTAGCTCAAGCCTTCACACAGGATTTTTACTCCACCATTCCCGAGATTGTTCTTGGCCAGGCTCAGGTGTGTCAGCTTCTGGCTGACCATCAAAGTGGAAGAGAACTCCTTGCAACAGGCTTCTGTAAGTTGGCAGTTCTCCAACCTGCAAAAGATTCACATAGATGGTGGGGTGGAGAGGGTATTTCCCACACTCAACCTTTTCCGTTGTCTTCAAAAGGTAAAAATCCTTAAATCCTTGTTGAGTCTCCTCTGTCTACCACACAGTTGAGATCACACAAGGGAATAGGAGAGGATGCATGGAACCATGTGCCAGAGACCATAAGTGAGATGTCTCCATCAGTGGGTGGATCCACATGGGGTGCCCAGCAGGTCTGATGTCACCATGTCTCTCTAGAGCCCCAGACCTCAGAGATGCCCCACAGGGAGAGAGGAGGTACTTACGACACTCTCTGCAGGAGGCACTTTGGCTGCCTCAGAGTCCTACACAGAAGCTTGGCACCTTTGTCCAGGAGCTCATTGTCTGTGAGGTCCAGGCATGTCAGGGACTTGTTGCTTTGCAAGGCCATGAAGAAGTCATCCCATCTCTGGAAGCTGGGAGAGCAAGATCCCAACCTGTGGGAGGATGGTCCAGAGAATGATCTAAATGGCCATACTTTTGGGTTTATTAATGATATAACAAGCCAAAGTAAAATAATAAATAGCAAGTGATGGATATACAGATAGACAGGTACACAGGTTGGTAGATATGTAGATAAATTGCAAAACATCAAATTGGGTGCCTAAAACATCTAGCAGAAACCCACTGGAGAAGTTGAAGCTGTCATCTGGTTTCTGATGAAGCTTTTTCCTCCACTGATAAACTCCCCATGATTGAACGTCAGGGTTCTCGTTCTCATGGTAGGCATTTTTATATAATGGGATAAATAGTAACCCCAATTGAAAATAGTTTACCTTCTATCTGTTCAAGGGCACAGTGTATTAACTCTTGAGCCATTTTACTGTTTTTCTTCTCTCCGTGTCACTGACTCAGTGGTGATAAGCCCATCCCAAGACAAGGGACCTTGAAGGATACTTTGAGACAAATGTGCTTAGGTTTGAAATGGGGTGATGTGGAAAACCCAACTTGCAGAGCCAACTTCTCAGTGAGCTCAAACAGCTCACTGGTTGTTGTTTGTCATGGCATAATGCTGGGTTGGCATCATCGGCACCATAGACAACCAGCTAGTAAACCTGGCATTCTTACTCTGACTTAGGTGTAGAGTCCTGTGATCTGTTTGAAGGGGCACTGTGTTTACCGGGAAGTTTAGAATCGGATTCTGAACCATGACCTCAGAATTTCACTAAGAATGTCTGGAGTGGACCTAAGAATTATCATGTAAAAAAGTTCTAGGTCATGTGGTTGCTGCTGGCCCGGGGGAATCACACATTTAGAATTGTTTATTCATCTGAATGTCATACAACACAACACCCATATTATATTCAAAGGAACTTTGTTCAAATATTACCTAGATCTTCAAGGCCTTTAGAGTCAGATTTCCTTTCCTTTAAATCTATTTTTAAAAAATTTGGGGTAAGAATGAGGGAGGGGGTCCAAATATGATTAAGATATATTGTTTGACTTGCACAAAAATTCAATAAAAATATACATTGAGGAAAAAAGAAAACTATATAAAATTTTCATGTGTGTGAATATTTTTGCTCATGTGTGTGCACCATGTGTGTGCAATGCCTGTGGGGGTCAGAAGATCATGTTAGATCCCCTGGAACTGGAGTTTTGGATGGTTGTTAGCCTTCATGTGGGTACTGGAAACTAAATGCAGGTCCTTTGCAAGAGCAGTCAGTGCTCTTAACCACCGAGTCATTTCTCCAGCCCTAAATTTATTAAATATTTTATTTTTATGTGTATGAGTGTATTGCCTGTGTGCATATAAATGCACTTGTGTCATGCAATGCCCACGGAGGTCAGAAGAGGGATTGGATTCCCCAGAATTGGAGTTACAGATGGTTGTTAGCCTCCATGTGGGTGCTGGGAACTGAACCCAGGCCCTCTGTAGGAGAAGTCAGTGCTCTCAACTGAGCCATCTCCTCAGCCCCCCTAAATTTATTTTTGAGACAGTCTCGTGCAGCCCAGGGTGGCCTTCAACTGGCAATGTAGCCAAAGGTGACCTTGAACTCCTGATCATCCTACCTCTGTCTCCTAAGATTACAGGCATGAGCCATCATATAGTTTATGTGATGCTGGGGATAGGATACAAGGCTTCATCATGCTAGGTAAGCATTGTATCAATTGTCTAAACCCTCAGCCATAGACTAAGTCCCGTTTTTCCATTTGGTTAGTATGGGAACAAGGTCTAGATGCCTAGTTCACCAAGTTTCATTCTCTTCCACATATTTGTTTTGAGGCAGGGTTTCTCTGTAGCCCCAGTTGGCCTGGAATTCATTATATAAGACCAGACTGGTCTGGATTTCACAGAGAGCTGCCTGCCTTTGCAACCTGAGTGTGCTGGAATTAAAGGCTTGTGCCACCATGCCTGGCATAAAACAGGTTTTTAGTCCCTCCATTTTTATACTGGAAATAAATGCCATACCTTTGCACTGAGTGTGGAAAAGCTGATAATCCACAGCACATGACACATGGGGCCTGTCACAGCTAAAATTCACTAAAGATAACCGAAAACCACTCTTGGAGATTAAGCTCTAACAACGGAACCAAAGATTATGCTGACTTCCAATTGTGTCCCCAAAATACATACATTGAACTTACATGGAGTTTCATTTTGAGCATTAACTTACTGAAAATGAAATTTGTGACCCTACTCTTCAAGTCATGTACTTTATTTTACTGGCTAATCCATTCAAGGAAAGGAAAGAAAGTTCATTTGTCATGGGTATCAGCTACAGCTTGTTATGGGACTTGGTTTTACTTCATTTCCACATCCTTGTGGGATGTACGTCCCCCTCCTTATCAGTAAGACCGAGGCAAATAGGCCAAGCACACCAGAGGAGACAGAGTCACAGTCTGAGACCAGTGATTACCTTGGACTTGCTGCTGCTGGTACTCAAATGTGGTCAATAGCATCTGTGGACCAGTTGATGGGGATTGGCATTATTAACCAATAACTTCCCAACAGCTGATCTGTCGACCCAGAGTGCTGCCAGGCAAGGACACTGGACAGATGGGGTCTTCAAGCTGGTATTTTGAATATTTACATGTAAGGAATACGAGCCATAAGGAGATGACCTGATAGAGGATGATACCCAGAGTCTGGGTGTTTCTTTGGACACAAAGCTGTCTTGTGTGGTTGGGTTCAGATTGTTGAGTGCGCTCAGGGCAGATGAAGACTGAATTCCTGTCTATGTTCTATGCTGATGGTATTTTTAACAGGGGCAAGGAAATTCCTATCCCCCTCCCCTGACCCCCAACGAAGGCAGATCTGCTGTATTAGGAAGATTGGAGAAGTTTGACCCAAGGACATTTTTAGGACTGGAGAGCGATACCTGAGATACTGTAGGTTGCATGCTTGATGTTTCACGACCTTGCACAATGAAGGAAGCGTGTCACTCAGGTTGCTGTCTTGGAGGGTCAGATGTGTTAGGGTTTCATAACCAGTAAAAGTGAGGCAGAAGCTCTGGTAGGCTTTAGCAGGGGAAATATTTTTGAGGCTGAGGAATAGAACACAAAGATGGGATCTTGAGCTTCTATGCCTCTGTTACACATAAATACAAAGGGATGCAGCATGTTTAAATCTTAGATATTTTTCCATATTAACTGCCCCTATTCTTTAAGACTATTGACAAAAATTGTATTTAAGTATACAACACTGATTTTCTTTTTTGAGACAGGATCATCCTGTAGCTACTGCCCCCGCCCCCCGCCACCACCCAGTTGGTCCGGAACCTGCTATGTAGACCAGGCTGGCTTCCATCGCAGAGATCTGCCTGCCTCTGCCTTACTAGTACTGGGATTAAGGGCATGTATCACCATGCCAGTTACAACATTGTTTTGATATATGTACACTTTGTGACATATTTGACCCTATGAAGCTAATTAAGGTATCTACCATCTCAGAGATTTCTTTCTTAATTTATTTCTCTTTGATTTAATGACTCAATAGGTATAATCTATGACCCAGAAATGATCAAGCATCATGCTGATTTTGAATTCAGGTCATTTCAATTTTTAAAATGCAATCATGTTATTCTTTATACAGGTGTGGTGACGCACACTTGTAATTTCAGCACTCAGAAGATGGAGGCAGGTAGATCGCTGCCAAGTTTGAGGTTGGCTTGATCTACAAGTTCCAGGCCAGACCCTGTTTCAAAAGACTACCAAAACCCATCATCACTACCCCTCATCACCTACCACCTACAATCTCAGCAAAGATGGAGTATATGTTACGATATTGTTACTATATCACTATATAATTGTCACTATATTGTTACTATATACTACATTACAGTCCACTAGCTTTTGCCACCCTTGCATAACAAACTTTGTACCCATTAACCAACATCTTAGAAACCATTTGAAGTTCTGACTTCTTTAATCACGTCAAGCTCTACAAAAGAGTAAATCATAAATTGCCAGACCAAAGCCATTCTTTTAGGAAAAGATAATGGCAGTAGCTCTATTCTCTGAAGTGTCACCAGTAGGAACCTTTCCACAAATACCATGCCCTGTGGCTGACTTTCAGGAACTCTTGCATTTAGAATTGGACTGTATGTCAAGTGTAACCTTTCATGCAGGAGTTCTTATTTTTGTACATCAAGAAGGAGTAGAAAGATATTGCAGGTTAAGATGACATCAGCTAAACTGAAAATTCCATGGAGATATCAGGGTCAACAAGGAAAGTAATTCATGTTAAAAATTTCCTGAAAACCCTCATACCTGTACCTTACATCTGTCCAGATTTAAGCTTCCTACGCACATTCTATGCAGATGAACATCCAGGAAGACTTTCAAATACCATCTTACATGGATAAAAGCACACTCTGCACACGATTACTTTAGGTACATAACTACTTCTACCCATCTTTTCATTCCGATGTCACTCATCTGCATATGTTTTTTGGTTGTAGGCACAGACCCAGACAACTAACTTTCAATGCTCATGATTTAGGCATGTTGCTTTCTATGTCTCTACACCAGTGGCTCCAAGCTCATCATGATTCTGTGTCCCCTTGGGATACCAGGAAATGCCTATGTGGAGACACATGTTGTAACTGAGGGAAGAAGGTACTGTTCATATCTGGTGCATTGAAGTCAGGGACACGGCCCACCATTCTGCAGCGTACCTGACAATGTTCTCCAAAAAAATACATAGCCCAAGTGTCAACAGAGGATGAGAATCTTTTCTACTTAGAAGGCCAGTGGATGCCATAGTAGCACTCAAACTGCCTACGATCTTGATAACTTTTTTCTTGCACTGCTATGGACATCAAAAGAGTATCACACATTGTATTAAAGTGGTTTTATATGATTCTTCCTTAGGCAATGCAAAGACCACTGAAAATCCTTGTGACTTGGGCATCTGGTTGGAATCTGGATAGGAATTTGAGTATTCCATTTGGCCATGCCACAGGGGGATTCCTGTCTGGGGATCGGTTCCTACTTACACCACTTTCTGGAAGTGGAAGGGCGTACAGGCCAGTCTTCCACAAAGAGTCTTCAGTGATGAGTTGTTGAAGAAGCTCTGGCTGATGTCCAGAAAGATCAGATTCTTGTTTGAACCAAACATGGAACAAAGGTCTGTCCAGGACAGAAGCAGGCGCTTATCCTTCTGAGGCCTACAAGAAGGGAGGGAGGTTAAAATTTTGTGTGTGTGTATGCTGTGGGTATCAGTCTTCAGGCACGTTCCACCTTTTGTTTGAGACAGGCTTGGAATTCTACAATGTAGACCATGGTCTTTGGGCTTTTAGGGAGCTACCTGTCTCTACCTCCCATCTTGTTGTTGCTGGGATTACAGGTGTGTGTCATACCAAGTTTTTTTTTTGTCTCTTTGAGACAGGGTCTCTCTGTAGCCCCAGCTGGCCTGGAACTATGTAGACCAGGCTGGCCTTGAACTCACAGGGATCTGCCTGCCTCTGCCTCCTGAGTGCTGGGACTAAAGGTGTGGGCCACCAGCTTTTTACATGGACTCTGGGGATCTAAACTCAGGCTCTCATGCTTCTAAGGCAAGCAGTTTACAGCCTGAGCCATCTGCCTAGTCCCTAAACATTTTATTAGTTTTTCACATTAACATACTGAGTAATGGGTTTTATAGGATCTTCATACATTTTAAAAATTTACATTAATTTATGTGTATGTGTGAGTCAGAGGACAAGTTGGACAGTTGGTTTTCTACTACCATGTGGGTTCCTGGGATTGAGCTCAGGCTTATCATACTTGGAGGCAAGCTACCAGCTGAGCAAAGAGAAAGGGAGGAGGATGGCTAATAGGGTCATGTGACTTGAAAATGGACCAGGGTGGGGCAGGACAGAGGAGGAGGACCAATGAGCACAGAGTATGTTGGGCTGGCAAGACGGCTCAGCTGCCAAGCCTGATGACCTGAGTTCCAGCCCCAGGATGTGCAGTGGTAGGAGAGAACTGACTCCCATAAGTTGTCCGCTGACCTCCATAATGCACATGTGCCCACAGATGCAGACACAGATGCACAAATCTGTACATACAATAAATATAAATTTAAAAGAAATATAGGATATGAAAGTAGAAGGGGGAATACCGATGGACGAAAGGGTTTAAGCATGGATGGGGGCTGGGAGATGGGAAGGGCCGGAGGGGGGAAGGCGGGAAGGG